CGGGAGCATCTGTAACAAAGCTGGACAGGACCAGAACAATTCTCTACTGGTTCAGCGTAAGAAACCCAACAGATCCAGTTATCTCAGAACCCTATGTGGTTCCATTGTTTCACTTTCAGAGCCTGGTACCAGAGATTAAAATGCATGTCTTACACGAACCCGTCCCCGTCTGTTTTATATCATTTATTACCGGTAAATATAATTTCGGACCCAACTGAATCTTCTCACCCCGAAACGCCAGCAGCAGCCTGAGCTAACCTACTGCTGGAACCAATACAGGCCCCACTACAAAGAACCACGGGTAACTACAGAAGGCAAAATGTGTACATGGGTTTATGAATCAAAACAGGTCTAATTAGTTGAGCCATTTATGTTTTAGGTCAAATTTCCAGGTATATAGTTCAGTTTTGATTCATTCGGAGCTCTCCTGCAACGTCCCGCCAACGTCTCTCCAAACGGCCGCCATCTTTGCAGCAAAGTGTTAAAAAGTAAAAATTCTGATCAATCTGAGAAGAATTGACTCATAGGAACAAGGTCCAGAAAAACTCACCATGTCTGCGGTTCTGATGGGTCCGATTCACAGCGGATTCACCAAACCAAATTCCAAAAAATGGACCCGCGGATTCGCCGGGCCTTTATTGTAAAGAACAGGAAGTAACGTAACAAGCAAGAGCTTCCGACTGGAAACGGTGACAGTTAAAAAGTTCCTACATGATCAGAGCGTTTAAAAGTTAAAGTTGAAGAATGGTCATTAAAATGGGGATTTAAATTCTCAGTGGACAAGACTAAAACAATGTTCTTTTCAAGGAAGAAAATTAATGATGGTAAATTAAAATCATATAATCAAGAAATAGAAAGAGTGAAGCAATTCAATTTTTTAGGAGTTCGGTTTGACGAAAGAATAACATGGAATATACACATTCAAAAAATTTTAGACAAATGCAAGAAAGTAATAAATATTATGAGATGCTTAATTGGTAGAGAGTGGGGAGCATATAGAGTAGCACTAAAGAATATATATACAGGATTAATTCGATCGGTGATAGACTATGGAAGTATTGTGTATAATTCAGCAGCAGAGACAAAACTTCAAAAACTGGATCGGATTCAATATCAGGCATTGTGATTATGTACAGGAGCAATTAAAACTACTCCAACAGCAGCATTGTTAGTAGAAATGGGAGAAATGCCACTTGCATTTAGAAGAGAGCAATTAACATTAAACTATTGGGCTAATTTAAGGGGTCATAGAAATGATCACCCAACTCTGCAAGTAATAAAACCCTGAAGGGAAAAAGAAGTAAAAGATATTAGAAGTTTTGGTTGGACTGTGCAAGAAAAAATAACAGAATTCAAAATAGATCAGATTAGTATAAGCCAAACCGTTCCATTATCAGTTATACAACCATTGATAATTACAGATGCTAGGGTAGATTTTACTTTGTTGGAAAGAAGAAAGGATAAGAAATTCATATTAAACTCATATATAGTACAGGATTATATTAATCAATATTATAAGTATGTAAAAATTTATACAGATGCCTCTAAAAATATAACAAATCAAATAGGAGTAGCCTTTATCGTACCAGAATTTAATGTTAAAATTAGGAAAAGGATAAGTGATGGACTTTCAGTTTATACGGGAGAAATGATTGCAATATTATTAGCTGTTCAATGGGTGGAAGAAGTTAAGCCATTAAGATCAGTCATATGTTCAGATTCTAGTTCATCTTTAATTAGTTTGCAGTATAGTCACTCAGAAAGCAGGCCAGATATTTTAATAGAAATTCAACAGACACTATATAGAATAAATATGATGGGTTTAGTTATAAATTTTGTATGGATATCGGCACATTATGGAATTAAAGGAAATGAACAAGTAGATAAGGCAGCAAAAGAAGCTGCTAAAAATATGTCAGTGGATTTATTTGTTAATTTTAGCAAATCTGAAGTTAAAATGTTAATTAAACAGAAAATAAAGGATAAATGGAAAAACGAATGGGAGAAAGGAAATAAAGGACGTTGGTTTTATAAAATTCAAAAGAAAATTGGAGAAATGAGAAGAACAGAAAGAACAAGAAGAGAAGAAACAATCATTTCTAGATTGAGGTTGGTCATACCGGATTAAATGGTACTCTGTTTATCTTAGGAAAACATAGGGATGGGAAATGTGAATATTGTGGGGTAGATGAAACAGTTGAGCACGTGATGTTATACTGTAACAAATATGAGGAGGAGAGAAAGCAATTCATTCAAAATTTGAGTAAAGTAAAAGTTAAATTAGATTTATTTCAATTATTCAGAAGTTATTCAGATAGTAATATTTACAGTATAGTATTTCGATATCTAAAAATAACACATTTATATAATAGAATTTAATTCCTGAGAGTCATTCTGGTCCACACTCCATTCCAGTAGATGGCGGAAATGCATCTATCTGTTGTTTGCCAACCGCCAAAAATATCAAAGAAGAAGAAGAAGAAGAGCGTTTAAAAAGAAAACATTTCAGACCCAAATACGGTCCCCTGGGGTCAAAATTAAACAGCAACATACGTTTTTAATAAAGTTAACTGTTTCATACGGACATATATGCAATATATTAATTATTTCCTAAATTAGAATCTAATAGAACCAAACTGACTTTGGAGTAATGATACCTGTTATATTTTTAGTCGAACATTAATATCGCACCCATGTCCATCACATTACCTACAAAAACTGTCAATTTAACACTTTTGAAGGATTAAATCAATGTTACGTTAAGATTTATTTATGTAGTATTAATACAATTTCAGAATCAGAATAAACTTTAATGGAAAAGTTTGAGTGAAGAAACAAGGAAATAGACTCCAACCATAATCAACTGTACAAACAAACAGGAGAGTATAAAGAAAAACAGTCAAAGGGATAAATTGCACAAGAAACAAACAAGGATACAGCATGATGCAAAATTCTGCAGGTCCCTGCTTTTTTAAATAAAAAAGAGGAAAGTCAAGCTGTAATAATGCAAAAGGCCATATTTGTTGCCATATACGTTGATCATGTCAGTGCTAATGGAATATAAGTGTTTCAATAATAGAACCTTATAGAATGAAAATATATCCTTTTTTGTCCTACGGGATAAATTTAGGTGTGGCATATCGGAAGATATGAATCAAATGCTGAAAAAAATAGAATAGACTGTACAATATACAAAAAAACTGTTTACAAAAAAAAAGACTGTGCAGCTATCAAGATGGCCTGATGGAGAGATTAAAGTCACCCAAAGTTGGCTGACAAAAAATGCATCAAATATGCATCATACATGCAGGAACAGTGGAGGTAAACATTTCTATATGCAGCGTGGTGATGCTGGACCTCTTCACTGAGATGCATAAGTAAATCTCTCATACAGAATCAACAAAAACATCATTAAAAACACTTTAAAACATTTAAGTTGTGTAATTTTCCCTTGTAAAAAACATACAAACTTGTAGGCAAAGGCTAACAGAGAAAAAATATTTTACAAAAAATGTAATAAATGGATACAGTTTACAAAGCTGGAAAAAGAACATAAATTACCATACAGGACTGATTTCAGCAATGACTTTTGGAGAGCTTAAAGGGGAACACCGTTTCTTTTACATTTTGGTGGGGCTAGTTTACTAGGCTACCCCCCCTTTCAGTGTCCACCACATTGGATCGGTCCATTTGCTGCACATGTTCAGAAATGTCCAAAAAAAAGCAGCAAATTCTTTGAAAACAAACAATGCGAAGAGCAGTGTTGCCAACTTAACGCTTTTGTCGCTATATTTACTTTTCAGAACCCTCCAGCACTTCTATATTAAAAAAAAGCGCCTTGCACCAAATCTAGCAAATTTTTTCTACTACTGGAGACTTTGGCAACAACATAAGCAGTGAACTCTGCTCTCCAGAGCAAGTAGATTTGTAAGCCCCTTTCCTCCTCTCCTCTATCTTGTCTACTGTCATGATTCCTGCAGCTATTAATCATGGCTTGTCTACAGTGAAAAGACGGACTCTGTTTACATTTTAATCTTGCCGTCTCCTTTTTGCAAACACAGGAAGGAGCAATCAGTTAAGTTAGAATGAGCTTAGTGATTGGAAAATCTTCGGCTACATTCACACTGCAGCCTGAAGTGACCCAAATCCAATTTTTCTTTGCCCACATGCGACCTGGATCTGATCTTTTCATGGCTGTCTGAACAACACAGATCTGATTTTTTCATACCACTTGGCTATGTGGTCCTGAATCCGATACGAATTGGATCTTTTCAAATGCAACCTTTGTCTGAATGGCCAGGTCACATCCATCTGACCTGAACGCCATTAGTTACCAACATAGGTCACTATTCTGGGTCTTGCTATGAAGAAATGGTAAGACAAACAACAACCATGGCGCACAATGAGGTGGAGAGCAGTATTTTTTTTAACCATCTTTAAAAGATTATGGTTTTAGATTTTGGAAAGATCGCTAGATGCGCTCCAAATTCCATGTTCACTTCCGTAAACACGAAGCATGCTGGCTTGTGACGTCATTGCGTCCTCTACTGCACATGCAGGACACTTGCATGTTCACAAAGGAGATCACATACAAGTCGCATATATTTGGAAACGTGAACGGCAACGCAAAAAAATCAGATTTCGCAAAGAAATCGGAATTGAACATCAAGGCCTGCAGTGGGAACTTAGCCTTTGATTCTTTTTGAGACAGCATTGAAATTCACCTGAGTACTATGCCAATATAAAAAGGGTCAAAAGAAAACAGAGAGAGAAAAATAACAAGAAAAGGGACAAAAGGTAGAACAAATTATGTATGTCTATTCTATTACAATTTCTGTATCTGTATAATGGGTCTGTTTTATGTGTTGTCTTCACAGTTCAGAGGGCCCCATGCCTGTCTTTGCCTAGGGCCCCAGATTTCCTAAATCCGCCCCTGAAGCAGAGGACATCTCTGGCTCTCCCGTCCTCCCGCTTCTGAACAGTTACCATGGTAACAGAGTTCCCGCCGCTGGTCGCGCGCCGCACTGGAGAGATGGTGAGTCACCGCGAGCTGCTCCGGGAGCGCGACGTTAACGGAGCAATAACATCCACGACCGACACCAGAACCGGAACATCGAGCCAGCCCGGACCCCTGGCATCGAGGCCGGACCCGCCGACGTCCTGCGGCCGCTGGACGGATCACAGCTAGGATCCGCAGTGACGTCACATACGGCTGCTGTCGCGTCGACTTTGATCAGGGCACATTGTTGCTGCATCCAGCTGAGCCGCCACCGCTGTTGCTGCTGAAGGCCAACATGTTGCTGCTGCCGCAGGGAGCCTGCTGAGCAGCTGAGCGCCTCATGGAGAGTCTCCTTCAGCATCTCCACGGCCCTGCAGGTGAGCTGCCTGCTGCAACCACCTGGTACATCAGCTGAAAAATGGAGCCACAGAGGCCCTAAATGAAGGATCCAGAATGTAATCTGCAGGTTCTGATCCGTAATGAAACATTCATTTGGTTGGTTTTACTCTGAAATAAATCTAATTGTTATTAGAGCAGAATTAACATTAAATAATCTCAAGATGCTTTTAGAAATCATCAGGATGGAGCCAGTATCTCAGTTTGAAACCTTCAGCTACGGGAGACAAAAATACACCATTATGATTGTTTTTTATTCATTTAAGTTTTTAATCACAGGCAAAGTTTCTGAATCAGTATGTCATACTGTCTTTAGCAGGTTCCTGCTCTGCAGAACATGAAGCACAAACATACGCCATAGCTTCAGTGTAAAACAGCAGTCATACAGGTATACTTGCAGGTATAGTTGCAATAGCAGCTGTCAAACACACTTCTTAGAAAGTGTTTGTGTGAGGATGTTCCTAATACGCTGTGGAAGGTCTTTCCAGGCGGGCTGGAACAGAAAAATATATTTTGTTTGCAGGTTATAGTGCCAGAAGTCTGCCAGACCTCAGGGTTTAGCTGTTGTCTAGATTGGGTTAAGTGCCCCAGAAGTGCTGCTTTGTTGATTTTTTAAAGTTTTATATACCAATGTTCATTGAGTAGTTTTAAAAGGTAAAAGCTTTGGAGAGTAAAAATGTAAAACAGTTCTTGTCATGATTTTGGCGCTGATGGCTGGCTTGATTAGTCATTTTATTCACCTGTCTAGCTCTGCCCTGTTTTCTAATCACTGCTTATCTGATCCACCTGTTCCAGCTCCTATTTAAGATGCCTGTTTCCCAGCCATCAGAGCCAGATTTTTCTTGAGCCTTTGGTGTTGAGAGTTCTCTAGCATTTCTGTAGTGTTCCGATTGCTGGACCCTGATCCATTTCTATATTTGGGCCTTTGAGCCTGCTTGCCCCTGTCTGATCTGTTTGCCTGACCTGTCTTCGGACTCCTATGGGATTCTTCTGTGGACGGAACCTGGATCTGTCTCTTGACTTCGTCCTGTGGATTATCCTGCCTTCCTTTGTCAGCTCGGATCTGATCTCCAAGCCTTCAAGGCTTCCGCGTCTGTAACTCTCTGGCAGCGGCCGCTGCGTCTTGTCAGCCGACCGGCTGGAATCATCCTCGTTCTCTGGGCACAGACTGAACTGTCAAACCAGGTTACTGACTCACGCGTTCATAATCAACCTCCATCAGATTATCGTGGTCACTAACCTGTGTTTCTCTCTTAGACGTTCCTGTTATAGATGCCCAAGACGCAGATACGGCAAATTCACAGCCCGTTTGTTGAATAAAGTTTTTCAGTTTTTCCACTGTTTGTCTGGGTCTTCTGTTCTGAAACTTTACAGTGCCTTCCAATGACCCCTGTTTGTCTTATTAAATTACATTTTTTTTAAATAATTATCAGTCTTTAAGTAGTTATTAAAAATACTTTTAATTACACATTGCTGTAAAAACATATTTGTATTGGTCTGATGTAATATTCTGATGTGCTGTAAAATGTTCACAACAAAAATCACAACTTACAGAAATAAATGCTTGAAAACATCCGCTTGAGTGGATTTAATCTATAAAATGTGTTTAGTAGTGATGGAATTAATGAAATAAAGGAACTTTTTAATATTTTCCTTTGATGAGTATAGCTGTGTTGATATGCTGATGATATTCAGCCATATTTCTCTGTAAATCCTGATGAATTATACCAGTAAGGTCGACTACAGGCATTTATTTAAGACATTAAATCCTTTATGAGTTTATGTTTATTTTCCTGTAGGATGATTTGACCTAATTATATCTCTCATATGTCTCTCAAGATGGACATCTTGTTTCCTGGATAGATGGACAGATTTCCACCACAGTCTGACTGATCAGCTAACCTGGACTCAGGTGTGTTTATAAATTTGTCTCCACAGATCTCCCTCTGATTTCTCCTCTTTTTAATCTATTAAAATGATTATTGTGTCATTTATTTTCAGGTGATCCATTGTGTTAAACCCAGCCCCCAAAGATCTTCAGGTATAAAAAATGACCAATAAGATGAACCACCTGAAAGAGGTAGAGGCTGGCCGGGAGTTTGAAGGCAAGGTGAGATTTCCAATCATGTCTTACTTCAGATACTGTTGTCCTTCACTGTCTCTGCCGAGGAGTGTGCTGAACATTCTATGTGAAGCTGAAAAGGCATCTTCTTTGTTATTGAATTTAACTTGTGATTAGAAGCAGAAATTGTAAAACATCTGATAGAAGAATTATGTTTTTGGTTTATATGTTTGTCTTGTAGTAGCTGCTAAAACAGTGAAGCATTTTCATATAGGGCCCAGTAGGAGTAATTGTGGTGCGTTCAGAAACTAACAGGTTATTGTAGCATGTTGGAAGGTAATGTTTTTTTTTTGTGGTGTACTGAGGGCCACTCTGTTTATTGTTGTGCGTCGTGTTCAGGTTGAGACCTGGGCTCAGTCTCTGGTCTACACTGTGGAGGAACTAGAGTGTAAAATCTGCTACAACCGATACAACACTCGCAGCAGGAAACCCAAACTGCTGGGCTGTCTGCACCGGGTCTGTGCCAAGTGTCTAAAGAAGATGGTGGACATGGGTGAGTTTACCTGCCAGGTGTACCGACACTAACATTATGATCTAAGCGTCTGTTCTGCTGAGGTTTAAATCCGGGATTTCTTTAATTTAAGATTATCATCATTTAATGATTCTCTTTCTGCTTAAAGCAAAACCTCTGATGATGGAAAAGATGCCAGAGAATGCTGAAGATTTCATTGCTGCATTTTTAGTTTTTCTCATCAAATATCAAAATTGTGACATTAATGATTCCAGGAGACTCTTCACCAACAATCATCTGCTGCCCGTTCTGCCGCCATGAGACGTATGTCCCCGATGAGGAGGTGAGACACAGCCAAAGCAGCCAGCATACCATCCTGTGTCACAGTATGTAGTCTGCTCTAGCTACAGAGCTCTGGAACATCACCTGCAGATTTTCCTTTATTTTTCTCTGTTGGTATTTTCTTGTTACTACTAATGATATGGTATCCCAGGGGTTTGCAACCTTTTGCTCCTCAGGGCTTTCACTGCAGTCCCTAACAAGTAAGGCCAAGGGTAACATGGAACTAGAATATCTTTTAAGCTACTTAGAAACAGCTTTTTAATGAAAAGTCTGTAAAACTGTATTAATAAAATTGCAGTTTTTAGTTTCCTGTTTAAACCCTATGCACTTGAAATTTTGGCATGCAAATAATTTGCATGGATTTTAACCATCTCGCTTCCCCGATAAATCAAGGAACTTCTATCCGCTCTTCCTCTAATGTGTTCAGTTTAATATGACAGGCCTTGATTTTACAAAGCAAGTCACGGTGTTGTACTAAATGCGGAAAGCCGAAAAGCAGCGTCTACCTGATCCTGCAGAGATGCTCCCAGTTTGACGAGTACCGCCATCTGCTACAGAAGCTGCAGCCGAATGACGGTCATTTCTAGCGGTGCTTCCATCTGTCCAGGGCCCAGTTTCAGGACCTGTTGTCCCGCATCGAGTGACGGACCATCCTACAGTGAATTTTAACATGAACCCCCCCCCTCCCCTGTACATCTTCACCACTTCTTTCCCTTGTTGATTAATGCTGCCAGAAAGATTCACTAACACAAAGATTCAGAATATTGCACTCTGTTGACAAGTTTGCCTCGCTAATAGCAGTGTTGCTAACTGGTTAGTAAGATGCTTCCGAGACACCGACCACTATCAAACTTGCTTGTGCACCTTCCGCCACAACAACCCTGCCCTCTTGATAAACGACCAATCACATTCACTTTATTTACTCGTGTAAAGTTGTGCACCACGCAGGAGAATTTGGAAATGCAATGGTTGGAACAGCCACTTCCCTACACCTTTATGGCTTAATGCATTTAAAATGTCCTTTAAAATAGCAGAAGATAAATCTGAATAACTTTGATGCAGACATATTAAATGCAATCAAAACAGTAAAGTTTCACAGAGTTCTACTGTGAAAAATAAAAAATAACTGAGGTATGCGTGAATACATAGCGACGCTGGAAAGAAGGGGTTAGTTCAGCTGGTACCAGGCGGTTCAATTTTCGGGGCGGGCCAGCGAGAAGAAAAAATTATTAGAAGACTCATATAATAGCTGCTATCATAGGCCGGCAATGACGTAGCTTGGTGCTAACGATGCTAGTCGGTCCAACCTTAGTAGCCTAACTCTTCAAACAAATAAAAAAGGAATTAAGCAGACAGCAACACACAGTATGGATTTAGTCGGGCTCAGTTAGCGTAAGCATTCCGTTCAGAACTCTTCTTTAAAAACCACCAGCAGTTGATTCAGAAAGCTTCTTTCAGATAAAACACAAACAATACATGTAAAAAGGATCTAATTATCTATTCCACCTCTCTCGGAGCTCTCGGAGAGATTTGAGATATTCTGATGCAGAGTCTTCTCTGCAGGGGTTTCGACGGCCTCCGCTGAAAACCGTCAAATGTCTCACCTTTCGAGGCCCGACAGCTGCGGAAGAGGAAGCTGAATGGAGGTTGGCTGCTTATATGACCTCTTTCACAAGGATGTGATGTCAGGTGGGAATCGCTCCTGCTGACATCACTGACATTTGATACTTAACACTGAACTTCTTTAGGTCCTTCAGTGTTTGCAACAAGATGCAGAATATCTTCAAGAGGTCTTTTCTGAAGGGTGCGATCTCTTCGGCCATCATCTACTGGCATAAAAGCATCCGAGCCAATGAATTATAAAAACTTACCAAGCTAATAAAGAATGTGGGTCTGTTCTAGGAACTTATCTAGAACCTCAAGAGATTATTTTACAAAAGATAATTGTTTATAAAATGAATAAAATTAAGACAGATTTTTTTCAGTCAGAGGTTATTCCAGATCCGGTGCAAGACAGACCGCTAAAGATCCATCCTGGCTACATTTTTTCAATCTACAACTGTTTTATTGAAAAATACTTAGGACATTTAATTTCCCTTTGGGAAAAATAAGTATATGTGAATTGAATTGAAGCAGTCTGAGACTGCTGGCCAGCAGAAGACAAAGTGTATAGTTAATGATAAAGTGAAATTGACAGCATTTTTTAAGGTTATTATGATTAATCTGCAACGTATTTAGCTTATATTTGATATTTCTGTATGAAGGAACTGAATTAACCCATTTCTTTTGTCTACATTTAATATCCCCGTTGAGTCCTTATTCACTTTCCCTCTCTTAGTCACCCTGTCTTCATCTGATCCCCAGGTGTGGCTGATGGAGGATGACCGCCACATCATGGCAGTTCTGTCTTGTCAGGATAGAGCTCAGAAGGAAAGTGTAACAACAGGAAAAGGAGAAGGAGGTTTAGAGGTGGTGTTGACTCCCACTGCTCTGAAAGGTGAAAACACACTACCAGCCGTTATCCTACGTCTTACTGTCTAAATCTAAAGTTCTCGTCTCTGTGTGACCACAGGAGGAGAGGGAGGAGGCACAGACACATCCCATCGTTCCTCAGATTGTCTGGTAATCACCATCATGGAGCTTCCAGATTATTCTCCATCCTCTGAGTCAGTGAGCATGCTCAACGTAGTGGGTCTCTACCGGCCCCCCAGCTTGGACTCTCTGCCCTGCAACTTGCCAACACAGAAATGTCGCGCTTGGACATCCCGCAGTTTTCCACGCTGCCTGTTGGGGGCGCTGTGCATGGTCAGTGATTTTCGAATATATTTTTGCAGTCCAACCAGAAACACACAGATAATATTTGCACCCAGGTGAGCTTGCACAGGTGTGTGACTCATGCTGCTGTGTGTCTCCAGGTATACTTCAGTTCGCTGCCTCTGGGGATCTACCTGCTAATGGTTGGTCACCTGTTGATGGGTGTGGTACTTGTCAGCCTGGTTCCGTCCACACTACTGCTGCTCGTTCTCTACGGATTCTGTCAGTGCATATGTCAAGAAGTGAGGGAGGCGATTGCGGCACGCAGGCTGCCATGACAACGGTATAGGCCACTGTCATGGCAACAAGGACAGTGTGTGCTTCCGCAGTGACAAACAGCTCATATGGCCACACTGACGAGGATTACGACATAACTTTCAAACCCTTCACCATCACAAAAGAGAACTGAAAGCAGAGCCGAACCCTCAGCACATTACCGACCCCATCAATGGAGGACCCTCCCCTTTTTGAGCACCAGCACCCCTATCTTTGCCAAAACCGCCAAACGGAAAAGAAGCAGGACATGTCTTCATTTCAGATTGTTATTATCAGCTGATCATGTCTTATCTGATGACAGGTTCATCATCAGAAATTTGATTAAATATGTAGAGCTGGATAAGCTACTAATTACTATTAACATGTTGCTAATAAGTTGCTGTTAACGTTTGTGTATTATTTATATGTAAATACTGAATTCTGTTCATAAATGCACCTTAAGAGATCTCTGTTCTTAGAGTCTATAAACAACCAACTGCTGTAAAAGAATAAGTTCAATAAAAAAAAGGTTGGTTAAATGTTAGTCTAGCTTGGTCTGGAAAGAAACAAAAGCTTAGTTTAAAGGTACACTATGCAACCGGTGTTGATTTTCCAGTGAGGCTCCCTCCAGAGGGCGAAAGTAAAAGTGCACTGTCGTAAATATGCTCAGCTGTTCTCCTGGTTTCTCCGTCAAGCCAGGCGCGGTTGTTTTGAGCTTAGCAGCGAATGACTAACGCTGCGTTCACACTGGACGTAGCTGGCGCGACAGAAGCAGCGAGTTTACATGCAAAGTCAATGGTTGACGCGCGTCAAGGCGCAGCAAAAGGTCCAGCGGCTCGTTTTGAGCAGCAGGCGCAGCACGTCTGAGCAGCTGAAGCAGCGCGTCGGGTGCGTTTAACGCAGGGAGAGAGACACAGCGCTGATGATCACTCCTCTTAAACAGTTTATTGACGCCTAAATTAACTTAAAATGCAGAAATCTGCCGGCAGAATATGCAGTTTGGATTATTTAGATGAAAAACACCTACCAGCTGCCGCGGTGAACCGCTGCTGATGAAGGGATCCATACTGTCGGCGCCCCGCTGGTATGTGGGGGTCTGAGCGGCTCCGACAGAAAAAATATTGAAGGCAGGATAATAATCTGAATGAACTGACTGCACTGATTACGTTTTCAGGTGTATTTTCTCACTTAAACACATATTAAAACTACTTTATTCCCACTGATCACAGCAAATATACAGTAGCTGCAAGGCAGAGAAAGGATAGTGAAGCTCTGCCCAACGCGCGTCAGACACAGCCAGAGCAGCAAAGCTGCTTCAGCCGCGCGTCAAAACTAACTGGTACAAGCAGCAAAAATGAAGCAGCAGACACGATTTTGCTGCTTTTGCTGCGTGAACGTAGCATAACTGCACAAAGATTGCCACTGTGCTAGCAACGAGAATGCTTTTAACTGGGGGGTGTAGCAGTTCTCGCCGTAAAGCAAGACTGACTCTCACGAGACTTCTGAGCCTGTGGGTGCGGGTCGGTGCTCCTGCAGTTGCAAGTGCAGTATTTCCCCCACAGACCACCAGGGCGGCCGAGAATACCTTTGTTCAACCTGAAATGACTCATTTAGTCATCCATAACGTTATGGAACACATTAATTAACTGAAAATTTTTGCATAGTGTCCCTTTAATGTTCAATCTGGTAATAAAGGATGGTGCTAGGCTACCTAAGCACAAACACAGGAAATGGTGAGAAAGTGTTTGACCAGCTTAGGAAGAGGACTGCAACAACAGGTAAAGCATAATGATGCTTTTTACACAAATGCGGGAGATAATTTTTTATTCAAAAGACCAGAGAGACAGAGAGAACCAAGATCAACATCAAATGTTTAGCTAGTTTAGAAGAGGGAAAATTCACCTGGCACTACAAATTAAAACTGGCTTATCATAAATATTGGAAATGCAATTCCAAAAAAGTAAAAAAAAAAAAAAATCCACTGGACTTTGTTTCCAAGATTGAAGACGTTTCATTTCCCATCCAGGAAGCTTTTTCAATAAAAAATCTCAGAAAAAGCGTTGAGTTCGAGGCTTTATTGATTGGACTAAAAACGAAGCCTGCAAAAACATGCAAATTGAACCGGATGAACGGATCCGCCCCTTTGGAATGGGGAGTCATTTGATTTCTTTGTTATCATGCAATAGGCAATACCTGTCTATGTCTCTGAAAGGGGGGTCTTTAGAGGAAATTATTGGCCTGGCTAAACAGGTGAGGTCTTCTGTTCCCCTGTAAGGTGGAACTGGAAATGATAGTACAAAAACAGGAAACAGAAAGGTTTAAGGCCCCCACGTATTGCGAGGACTGTGAGCCGCACATGGTCCACTCTATATATAGTCAGACTGACCTATTCCTTTATTTATTTTCCCACACTATAATGGTGTCAACACGTTTGCCTTCTAGCGTTAGCTTCTCCCACTGCACACCTGTCTGTGATTTGGAGAGAACAGTTATGACGCTGCGGGTCCTTGGGCCTAGCCTAGCCTTTAGGCTATCATAGCATAAAGACCGGAAATGAAGATAAAGTGCTAGCCTGATAATAAGCCAGCAAAGCTTAGCATAAACATTTTAAAATGAGTGTGAAAATAGGTTAACACAAGGAGTGAAGATGAAGGGGAAAGTATTTGGTTAGCATTAAGATTGGAAATAAAGGGAAAATGTAAGCCAAAGACGAGAAAGTAAAGTGTTATAATATCTCTGGTTCAATCAATGTGCTAAGGTGGTTAAAATACTCAGTAGTTTCTGGTATTTGTACTAATCTAAGCTTACTATTTAAAGTTTCTTTGTCTGAAGGGAAGTGGTTAAACTGTCCTATTAAGTGCCAATGTCAGATTAGATTATTTGTTAATTACAGTGTTTCAATCATCTGGCGATTTTAACCCCTTATGTAATTTCCTGACCTTTGTAAAACAAATAAATGTAACCTTGACTGAAGAGTTTAATTTCTTTAGCTGCTGCCTACCAGCCTTCCAATACGATTAATCTATTTACTGATGCGACTGTTTCATTTCACAGTCTGTGGAAATGCCTCAGCCCCCTATGACCATTTGCATAATTTACAAATATCTGAAGCAGCAATAAAGAGCTTTTTACCTTGGTTACCGTCTTCTACTACATGGAGACCTTTTCTAATATTAATCTGTCTGTGTTTGAACCCGGGACCGTTATAACCTAACAGTTTGTTACAAAATAAACCAATACTCTTTTAAAGAAAGACCATTTTCAGCTGTCGATGCGGTTGAAATGTTTTAACATTAATTTCCTTGTTCTACTCCAGCACTGGAATAATAAATAAAAAATAATTAATTCCTGGATGCAAAGGGAAGTACCCTAGCTCTCTCCCTCTTCCTGTAAATACCTGTGCCATGACATGTCCCACCTGTACAGGTAAGATTTGACAGAGAGGCAGACCCTCCTGGGTCCATGGAATAATCAGGACTCAGGTGTCCTACCAGCATTAATTAAAATCACTAACCTTCCCTGGAGAGCAGTAGAACGTGTTTATAGAAACCTGCCTACACCAGTCCTTTACCACAGAAGAAGGTGTACAGATTATAAGACCCGCAGCGATTGAGAGGGAATTATTCTTCTGCACTCTACCCATGTAAAAAGAAGTACACACTAAGATGTAAGTCGTTAAGATTTTCTTTACAACCTGTATTTTCAAGTTATTTTTTTGCAGAATTCTCTGTCTGCTTGGTGGGATTTCCTGTATTCTATTCTCATTTATAATATGTCATTTGTAAAATAATGTGAATACAATGATCTTCCCAGAATATTCTTTAAATGACACATTTTCGAGAATAGTGATTTATCAGCTGGGAGCTTGTTGCAGGTTATGGAAATACTATCTGTTCCTTCTGAATTATTCTTTTGAAAACCTTTTCCTTTGTTATCTGTTGGAAACATTGCTTTCTTAAGAGATCTTACCCCCTGGATTTGGAGTTGCTTTTTTTTTACTTTTGGTAAGTTGTTTCGATGCATAACCAAAGCAACATGTGCATGTTATACTAATTGAATCGGCTAATTAAAAGCTTGTTTGAAACCTGAGCTATATTCTAAAATTCCAGACGAGCTGAAAGGGAACCAAATAAATACAGAGTATAGGCATATAATAGGGAGAGGCGGAGGAAGTTCAAACTGCTAGGCTTTCTAACTCTCTAGGGAGACAACGATTTACAAATGAGCGGCAAAGTAAAAAAGAAATGGATTAGCAGTGCTTGTGAAAAGCTGGGAAGCCTTGACTTTGAAGCCTGATTATTAAACTATTGGTACTTAGTGTATAACATAATTTAGAACGATGATGTCATCATCTTAATTCAGTAACAAAAACAACAGTCTAATTCGTTTGCAGCAATAACTGGTGATTTAAAGGTATAGTCGAGGATTTTTGCTAATTTCTGAAAAGACTATCCCCCTCCATTAAAAAAAAAAGCACATGCACAACCCTGTACCCGCTCCCGGCAGGGATCGCCTATTAAACATGTGCGAGAGCGTGCACAAGCCCATTTCTCCTCGTGCACACTCTGTTTAAGAGTTTGTTTGCATCACTCATACAAGCTTACTTTCCAAAAGAAGATTTGCAATTTTTCCACTATGTCAGACTCACCGCGGGTAAGTGAAAATGGGGACGAGCAGGTAGGACGGCCTTATGCACATATGTCACCAGTATGATTGACAATTAAGAGGACCACTGACTTTGATGATCTACCTGGAAAAATAACATCCTCCACACTGATAAATGATAAAGCCTGCATTTATCTTGCATTGACACTGTGAATGCAAGAATTGTGATGATGTCACTGGCAAGGGCAGATGCTGACCTCTGATTGGCCAGTGAGTCCCAGGTGACCTGCTTTTTCCAGTCAGGTGGCTGCATCATGAGTCGATGGCGTCGTTCAGTGGACGAACTCACAGCCGGGAGGAGGCGACAGCAGACAGAGTGTGAGCGCGCTCAGAACGCTCTAAGTCCCGTCACTTCCTGTTTCCAACAATTGGTGGCGTCGCTTGGCAGTTCAGCCGATAGCAGTTTCCTACGTGAGGAGATTGACGAGACGAGAGCTCTGGCTCATCGGATCTGCTCAGGTAGCGCCTATCTGCCTCTCACCTGTCCGCTATCTGTCTGACTTTATCCTGGCAGTCTGTCTGTATCTCACCTGTCCCTCTGTAGGCCTGTCCCGTCGTCTTCTTCGCCTGCTGTCCGCCTGTGACTCTGCCCCAGTAGCTACAGAGGATAGACAAGCTTCGGAGCGTCTCTGGGTCCTCTTCCTGTCTGCCGTGGAGAACTTCCTGTCTGACCTCCGAAAGGCCAAAGACCTGATTGGCCATTTTCCTTTGACTCAACGCTCTAACAGACGATCATTGGTAAACACAGGTGAGATGTTGGCTCCGCCCTGCAGCTGTAATTGGCTGAGGCACAATTTCCCTTCCAGGACCTCATAAAGGGACAGATAGTTCAGAGTTCCAGGTACACTGGCAATTGCGTACGTCTTCTTCCTCCAGAAGGCAGACTGAAGTATTAACCTCTCCAGAGAAATC